CATAGAAAAATTTTATCTAATTATCAAGAAAAATATTTTTATTATTTAATAATAATTTTCTTAATTTGAGAGGAAATGATATTGGATAGAAAAATTACAATAATCGGAAGTTAGAACATAATATTGTTGTTATAAGAATGTATGATTTGATATAAGAATATAATATTAAAATTTTAGATTATCAAATTCTTTAAAAAAGATTTTATATTGTTGCTCATATAGAAAATAATGATTACGTTGAACAGAATATAATCGTTTTAAATTGAGAATTTTTTTCTGCGATACAAAGGTATGGATAATAACAGCGAAACGCGGACAATCTCGCCGTTTCTCCATTGTAAAAAGAAATGTTTTATTCTTGTCCCTATTTTTTAAACACTTGAAGATGTTTTAGTTTTAAACTTTTTCAATAAACAAAACACTAGCTAGATTTAAAACACTATGCGTTTTAAATCCAAACATCTAGTGTTTTGTCTATTGAAAATCGACGTCCTTTCGACCGCACTCCATCCACAAATCTCACAATCGATAGTCGTGCTTCATCTAAAGTGTTTGAAGATTAACGAGTATACAGAGTTAACAGTCACTCAGTGCCGAATAAAGGGCCATACATCTCGTTGGATATCGTGATTTTCAAGGATACACCTGAAAATGTCACGTTAATTGAAATAAGGAAATAAAATTGCATGGCAACTGAATATCACATCGTGCAAAAGTACGATGCTGCGGAACTTGAAAGAGTTTAAAGTTTGCCCGCCTGATTCTGCAATGATCATATACGATCCGAATAGTGGTTTGGATCGACAGCTACAAAAAGATGAGGATGTCAATCGGTTTATTTGAAGCAAAACGATAACACGTCAATCGTGATTATGAATATCAATGGTATTCCAAATTCGTTTTCCTTTGTTGCAAGACATAAAGTGGCCTACAAATAATCAATATTATATTGTATAATATTTATATACAATATAATAATATACAATATTTTCTTGATCATTTGCTATACTGAAGACAATATTGAATCTTTAGATTCAAATTCAGACTAAAATACTTCATTATAGATTGCGCAATATTGCAGAAGTTTGTAATCGTGATAAACTTCGACAAAGTGCATTGTTATATTACCAACGTCACAAGTTTGTTTAGCATTATGTTCAACTTGCTGTACTACATGTCACGTTCAGCCGGTAATCCCGCGATGCAAAGTATACTTCATATAGTATTAAACTCTTAAAACTGAAACTTATCAAATTACAACTTGGGGACGCGAAAGGCGAACAAAGTGTAAAATTATGTAACACAAATTTTTAATTGCAGAAGATAAATCTTTAATTAAATCTTTTTTACAAAAACTTTATTATTGATAATTTAGTGCAAAAAAATCTTGAAGTAGTTCGTTATATCTCACTGTCAATGATAAAGTTTTTGTTGTTGAACTTACATATAGAGTAGAAAATTGCATGGTAATAGACATTATTAATGTTTATCAGTGTTTTATTAATAATGATTTAAACTCTCGGATGTCGAGAATCGCATCTCAAATTACTCTTACAAGTTACACGTGTACATTTATACCTTAAATATTTGCAATTTGGAAGAAAAATAGCGACACAACTATACGTCGTAGATATTATAATAACTAATTAGACTTATTACAAAGAAGAGAATATCGGCAGAAAATGTTTTTTTCCGTTTACAACACTTAAATTTGCGAAAATGATCTAACTGCAAGGAAGGGTTCATATCTAATCATATCCTAATACTTATATTAATCATATCCTAATGTGTCAATGACTTAATATAACGTTTGCACTCGTAAAGTGTTTCACATTCTCGAAATAAAGAAATAAGCCCAATTACTATCACGTAATTGGCGACAATCATACAGCGGAAATATATGTAATAGCAATCTCTCATTAATCATGAATTTTTATTTATCAACTTATCAAAATAACAAATTAGAAATGACACGAACTAACTCCATTCTAACGAATAAATACATATATTATTAACTGTAAAAAATTTTGCAAGTTTGTTTTTTTCAATAAGATTCTCTTACGAAATATTCTTACGAAATATATAAAAAGATTTCGACGGCTCTCTTTCATTATATCAATAAAAAACTCGTAAAACTTGTCTAGTAGATGTTTTGTAATTGCGGTAGCAAATCAAAATTTAAAAAATCTGTCGTGTTTACATGTGTCCCATTGGATATTCGAAAATATGAAATCCTGTTAATTTCCGAAACAGGATGTTATCGCTGGTTTATCGTATGAAATAATTAATGAAATATAGAAATCTGTTTTGATGCTTAATAACATATACCGAGAAATCGAGAATCGATATATACAATTGAACGTCCAAACATGGCTGTAATAAATTGTTAAATAAACATCATATGTATTTTATATATTACATAGTTTATAATCTTTATAAGATTATAAACTATGTAATATATAATATACATATGATGTTTATTTAACAATTTATTATATTCAATATTGTGCAGCGATTATTTTACTTATTAATATTTATAGCTTTCAATTTAACGAACAATTGATGAAGAATTTATTTAAAGAAAGCATACATTCGAATAAATTGTGAATATTGTGTATATACGTATATATGCAAATATGTATATATTGCACGTTTCGTAATGCTGCGGTCGATGTACTAGGTATAAGTATCTCAAAAGTGAGAAGTGGATCAGTCAAAGGAAATCCGTTTAACCGTTCCAGCAGCGTGCGTTAAGTGTGAGAAATTGTATCAAAGAAATTAATGAACATTTCCCTTTCAAAAGTGGATGAAAGAATCATTTATACCTGTTTTCTCTTGTTTATATCCGATTAATTTCTACCTCATGCACATATGCATATATCATATGAATGGAAGACTTTTCACGTTCCTTGAAACATGTTTAACATAATGTATGTCTATTTTATGAAAGACAATAATAATCGTTGGCGTATATTAGAGAAAGATGATAGTATTTAAATTAGTTTTGCTAGCGGATAACTCAGTAAACAAGCTGGCGTTATTTGTCGTCATTTTGATATTAAATGACATTAAAGATATCACTATGATGTTAAAACGACGATAAATAACGTCAGCTTGTCTGCTAAAAAACGAATTTTGCATTAACGAGTTCATCAGTATATTCTTTCTTTCAACAAAACAGCAACGCTTATCTATCTGTCGCTTAGCGAAGCTATTCGTACTATGTTCATTCGTGTGATGTTAATCGTCGTTTGTACGAATAAATCTGAACAATTCGAGGATTTTGAATAGTCTGACAATTATATGCATCGACAATCTGAGAACATAATCACGAGACAAATTATTTCTATATAATCGATGAGAAATTCCGAATGCGGGGTCATCGAACGTAGGTGAGTCCTGGATTAGCGGTTCTCAATCACTTTTTCGTCACCAGTCTACATGTATGCACCACTGCACGTGTTGAGGTAGCAATTTCTCTCTCTCAACAAAATAATAACGCTTCTATATGTGTTTTTAAATAATGCAGTATAAATATACACAAATTTGAGAGTCCTATCGATATAATGATCCAATACAAAAATTTACAAGTTTAATTAAATTTAAAAAAATTGTATTTTAAATATATTTTGCGATTCTCATAAATCATTTACATGCAGATATTTATATAGCATTATTAATTGTAGAAGATTAAATCGCGTTATATACTTTTTTTTATTAAAAATGCATAAAAGTAATATACTCGCGTTGCTACTCGGAAAGATGTTCCGTAAAATTATATATAATTATTAAAAAAATTGACATATTTTATATATAATTATACATATACAAAATATGTCCATATATATATAATATTTTTTCCCGGTTAACAGTTAAAATTATCATTGATTACGAGAGACATCATATCTTCTCTATTTTCTCTGAAATGTAAAGCTCTCTCTTTTGAAAGATAAAATCGATCTGAACCGTTGGGTCCAATGAGTATAAAGCAAAATGGAAAGGACAGGAGCACAAACGTGTTTCATATCAAAACCATATGAATGATACTACGAATACAAGATTAGATGTTAATATAGTAAGTGACATCGATATCCACGAATTTGATATTCTACGCAAACTAGCAATCGATGTTCTTTTATCGCAATGGGTCATGCGAAAGACGTCGTAATATGTAGCCGTAGTAACTATTTCTTAACAACCATTGTATAGTCGACAAAGGGTCATACACACACCTCCTTCACTGCACTGATGTGAGATTTTGATTCGATTATTCGAGAATCGATTCTTTTTTCGCAAATTAATTCGATTTATTAGACGATTCTTTGAATCAGTGATTATTTGTGAATCGATTATTTTTCATAGATCCAATTTCTAAAATGGATGTATATATTGGTGTTAGTATATAAATATATTTCTAATGTTGATAATATAATAAAAAAACTTCAAAGTGTAGAAAGTACTATTGAATAAAATGTATTTCTTTTTAAGAGCTTCAAAATGTTTTAAACAGTACTATAAAGAAAAAACGTTAAAAACATATTAAAAACCTCGATTGAGCACGTTTTAAACTATTTAAAACATATTTCTTACTAACCCTGCCTATTTATATATTTCAGAATAATTTTTAATCGCGATTCTTCAGAATCGATTAATTTCAACCCGATTAATCAAATCGTAAATTCTTTTTTGCAAAATTTAAATGATTATGAATATCGATTCTTTTTTTAAATGTCGCATCACTCCTTACGACAAGAATATTTGGGTTCTAAGAACTATACATGAATACATCATATTGGAATAAGAAAATAAAGTTGCATGGCAACCGAATGTCGTATCGCACAAGACAATACTACTCTGCGAAATTCGAACGACATTGAAGCATATCTGACTCTGCAACAATTATTATATGATCCGAATGATATAAAATTCCACTATTCCTGTTACATCAAGAGACAGATATAAAAACAGAAGAAAATTTCAGTCGGCTTATTTGAGTGCAACAAATGGTAACACGACAATTGTGATCAACATCAACGACAGCCAAATACTTCTTCCTGTGTTGTAAGTAAAGTTGGGAAATACTTGTAATGAAATTACAAATTGGAGTTACTTTTTTCAATAATTGTAATTTAACTTCCCCATCCCTTTTTTCATCTATAATTGTAACTTAATAATTTTTTGTAACAAATAACTAATTTTATAATTACATAATTTCTTCATATGAAACATTTTCGATAGCATACTCCATGAGCTTACCAAAATAAAATATTTACAATAATCAGTGACTATATATTGTGATTAGAATATATCTTTATCTTTGCTACCATCACACTAAATGTTTGTATCAAGAATTAAACTTAATATCCTTTTAGGAATGAACATGTCTTAATATTAATATTACATAATTTTGATTTTGTACTAAATATACAAATTTAATTTATTATAAATAATGTAAAGTACAATATTGAATGAGTAGTATAATAAATAAAAGAATTTAGTAATATTAGAAGAATGCAAGATGTTCGTATTTAAAATAGCAATGTAAAACATTAGAAAAAAATTAACAAAAAAATAACTAAAGACTGTAGAACATTACTTTTCAGAATCAGTGATTTGTAACGCGGCAACTAGTTACTTTTTGAGAGAAAAAACTATATGATTAGTTATTCTTATAAGGTAATTTTCTCAATCTTAGTAGTAAGACGTACATAAGTGAACGTCGTATGGAATTGCACCAAGCAGTAGTTCGGCTTCGAAATATTTTATTATAAGTTGTGTAATATCACCAAAGTTCCCAGTTGTAAGAAACGTCAAACAAAATGAATAATTCTTGTGAATTACGCAATTATCGATATCACAATAACATTTCAAATATATTTCTCTCCTTCTGATTAATAATTGAAAGAGTAAATGAACGTTATGAGAGGTCAAAATAGACAGGTATTCTTCTTAAAATACTTCCTCATAAAATGCGCAATTATACATTAATGAAGTTCAAAATCAGAATAAATTTCGACAAATTCCATTGTTAAGTTACTCCTATATTACAAATTTATTTGACATTACGTACAACTTGTTGTACCGTATGTCATGTTCAGCCGGTAATTTCGCGATGCGAAGTTGCTTCGTAAATAACAATATACTCTTAAAACTGAAATTTAGTTGCGATTTTAGAAAGGCAAATAAAGTATAATAAAATTACGTAACACAGATTTTTAACGATAAGAAGTTCCAGACAAAAAAATCTTTTTTCTTATAAAATCAATGAGATAATGAGCTACTATTTTCTTTGATACATTCGTTGTCAAATTCATATATGTACAATGTAAATAGTTGCATAATATCAAACACTTTTATCAATATTTTACTGATGATAAAAGTTAATAGAAAAGATGAGATCAGCAATGGATCGTAAGATATCATCTTAGCAGATTGGAAGTTAATTAAATATTACATATTTCATTTAATATTACATAATTTCAAATTAAATTTTGCAGACATCTTCAGGTGTATCATAAATATCAAATTTAGAATAATCAGGTGACAACGTCACATAAAATTGCGGACGATGATGATACAATTATTATTCTTAGTTCCTTTGATCGCTATTGATTATGGTGAGTATTCTAAGGCAAATTGATCAGTTTTACAATCATTTAATTTAATGCAATTAAATTCATAAATATAATAATTTAATAACAAACCTTATGCAGGCGCATCAATGAAACTTTTACCAACAGTTATTGGGGGGAGACTCGCCAAACCAGGTGAAATTCCATACCAGGTAAATCAGTAAATTATTCTTAATCAATGTTATTACTAATCAACACCGTTACGTTAATGCTTGGATTTAAAAATATGCTCAACGTCGAATGTTTCGAGTTTGGACGAGCAATAAATTAATTACTTTTATTCAATAGTTCGAAGTTGACAATGTCAATTGTAAAGCTGGACGTATGATAATATTAGAAATTGCTGTATCCTATTACATGAAATGTATTTTACAATTCAGGTTTCTCTGCAAGAAATTATAAACGAGCATCACTTCTGCGGTGGAGTCATAATTAACGAGTATTATGTAGTGACGGCCGCTCACTGTATGTATAGGTAAATATGAAAATTACTAGAAACACTTCAGAAAACTAAACCATATGTAGAGATAAAAAAAATATATTCTTCGTAATATATTCTTTATAGGCGAAATATTTCGGATATTTCGGTCAATGCTGGAACAACAGACCTTCGAAAACCGCATTCAGTGCATCTGATTGAGTTCGCTTATATACACAAAAAATACAATCCCCAACAATCAAATTACCCCATTTATGATATCGCTTTACTTAAGGTAACGTTAGAATTTATCACACATAGTTTCAATTAAATTTAACTGTAAGAAAATTACAACTGTGCAAAAGAGTATATGGAAGATTTATTTTCAGCTCGAAACTCCATTTGTATTTTCTTTTTTGATATCTTCTGTCAAGTTACCGGAACAGGATCAAATTGTCGAAGCAGACTCGCTAGCATTAATATCAGGATACGGCTGGATAACGGTAAGTTTCTTAATAATTAAATCATTTAATCTTCACTGAAAAAAAATTTAGTTATAGCTACTTAGTATTGAGTGAAATAGTTCCAACTAGATATTGAGGTAACCCATACAACACAGAATTTACAGCAATATCATTGCAAAGTCTCTGCAATATTGCTACAACATGCAACGTTGCTGCAATGTTGTAGCAGTGTTGTTACTTTTGTTCAACTTTGTGCTGTAGGGGAATATAACTAAATATTATTTTACTTAAACATAATTTTACCTTTACAAATATTTAGTAAGTATCACCGTTGATAATATCATTTGGTAATATTTGCTAAATGTTTGTAAAGATAAAATTATGATTAATTATATTACCTCAACATTTAGTTGAAACTATTTCACTCAATATTTGATAGCTGTAATTAGATTTGATAGCCATAATTTTTTTTTCAGTGTTAGACACTATGTATTCCAAAATCGTACCTCAAATTGCTCTTATAAGTCATATTTGTACTTTGTATAATTTCAGACTGATGGAAAGAAAAGCAAACAGTTGCACATTGTAGATAACATAATAACCAATCAGACTTATTGTAACGAAGTCTGGAATAGTTTAATTAGTGATATACAAATACAAGATTCGCAAATCTGCGCAATTCATCCAACTGCAGAAAAGGGTGCATGTTTCGTAAGTTATTTACATAAGGCGTTGCAATACATCGCAGTCATTAGTTCGCATGTGCAAATACGCTGTCTGCTCCGATTGAGTCATTAACTACTTATCTTCATTATTCTTCTCAAACGAAGCTTCAACTCGCTATTGTTTCTAATAACTCGTAAACACAATGTCTTAATACAACGCTTGCACTTCGAGTCGCGTAACGTATATAAATCCTCGAAAAGGAAATAAGTAATCTATAATATGATTACATCATATAATTTTCGGCAATTATAATGCGAAGACACATCGTAATTTCAATATCTTACTTATCATAAATTTTTATTGATCAATTAATTAGTTATTTAATTAATTAATATAATGCTCAATAATACATACACGCATAAAACATTTAATTACTATAGAAATTTGCTGCATCGCTGGTTTGTTGATTGTTAATGTGCTATTGATTATTTTGTTCATTAACATATTTGGGATTCCTCTTTACGTTTTATAATTTAATTTAATTGACAACAAGATCGTAGCTTAGCGATCGAGAGGCCAGTATCATCAAACATTTATTTAATTAGAATAATAAGACATAAATAAGTTCTACTCTAACGAAGAAATATATTTTTAGTTAATTGTAAATAACATTGTTTACGGATCGGATCTTCCAATTAAATACATAAAATACATTTTTAGTTATCGGGGAATTGTATTTTTTAGGGTGATTCCGGTGGACCTCTTACTGTCAATGGATATCTCATAGGCCTCGTTTCGTTTGGGTACGATTGCGCTAGTACAGAATATCCTACTGTGTATACACGCATCCCGTCGTTCATCGATTGGATATATGAGCATATAAGAATTAATGAAATATGGTAATCTGTTTTGACATTTAATGACATTTAATGACATGTATAACGAAATCGGGAATCGACATGTATAATTAAACGTTCAAATGTAGATGTCATACTTAATTTGTTGAATAAATATCATGTATTTTGTATATCATATAGCTTATGTACACGTGCCCAAGATTTTTCCTGTATTACTTCCAGAAAAGAGATGTAATATATCTGCTAAAGATCAACATCGTACGATTATTTAACATATAAATTTAACATATAAAAATATTCATAACTTGGTTTAAGGACGTCAAACAAGAATTTCCTTAAAAAATACACATTCCTATAAATAATACTATTTTTGCGGTCGATGCACTAGTAAACGCGAGAAGTGGGTCAATCAAAGGAAATCCGTTTAACCATTCCGGCAGCGTGCGCCAAGTGCAAGAAATTGCTTCAGAGAAATTAATGAACATTTTTCTCTTAAAAATGGATGAAAGAATCATTTATGTTTGTTTTCTCTAGTTTTATCCGATGTTAATTTCTACGTCTTGCATATGTGCAAGAACGGACTTTGCGCATTTCTTGAAATATGTTTCGCATAATATATGCTTTTCTATTTTGAGAAACAATAATAATCGTTAACGTACAGAGAAAGGCGATCGTTTTCAAATTATTTTTACTTGCGGATAACTCAGTAAATAAGCAGATTTATTTATCGTCATTTTGACGTTAAATAACGTTAAATATATCATTGTGATGTTAAAATGATGACAAATAACATCAGCTTGTCTGCTAGAAAACGAATTTTGCATTAACGGTTCATCACTATACTCTTTCTCTCAACAAAGCAGTAACGCTTATCTAACTGTCGCTCAGTAAAGCTATTCATACTATGTTCATTCATGTGATGTTAATCTTCATTTGTACGGATAAATCTGAATAATTCGAGGATTCTGAATAGTCCGTCAATTATATGCATCGACAATTTGAGAACAATCTGAGAACAATAATCGCGAGTCTGATTATTTCAATACCTGTATAATCGATGAGAAATTCCGGATGCGTGGTCGTCGAACATAGATGAGTCCTGGAATAGTGGTTCTCAATCGCTTTTTCGTCTTCAATCTATTTATATGCACCACTGCACGCGTTGAGGACGTTGAGGTAGCAATTTCTCCCTCGTAACGAACTAATAATGCTTCTAAATGTGTATTTAAAAAGTGCAATATAATAAATTAACAAATTTGAGAGTCCTATCGATTGATCAAATACAAAAATTTATAAGTTTGATTAAATTTTTAAAAAATTGTATTTTAAATATATTTTGCGGTTCTCACAAATCATTTACATGCAAATATTTATATCATTATTAATTTTAGGAGATCAAATCGCGCTACACACTTGTACTCAAAACCCATAAAAGTAATACGGTTACTTGTGTTACTACTCGGGAAGAAATTTTCATATATAATTATATATAATTATATATAATATATATTTATATAAAATTACATATAATTATATAATATAAAGAATTGACATAATTTATATACAGTTATATATAATTCTATATAAAATATGTCCATATATATAACATTTTTTCCCGGGTAACGGTTAAAATTATCATGACTACGAGAAGCATCATATCTTCTCTATTTTCTCTGAAACGTAAAGCTTTCTCTTTTGAAAGATAAAATCGATCTCAAGCGTTGAGTTCAATGAGTATAAAGCAAATCGGAGAGAACAGGAGCATAAACGCGTTTCATATTAAAACCATACGAATGATATTACAAGGCTGGATGTTATAATAAGCGACGTCGATATCCACATAGAAACGAATTCGATACGCAAATTAGCAATCGATGTTTTTTTATCGCAATGGGTCATGCAAATGACATCGTAATATGTAGCCGTAGTAACTATTTTTTAACAACCATTGTATAATCGACAAAGGGTCATACACGTGGCTCGTTGCGACAAGAATATTATGGTTTTAAAAACTGTACGTGAGAACATCGCATTGCAATAAGAAGTTAAAGTTGCAAGGTAGAAGGCACCCGAATATCGCATCGCGCAAAAGAATACTACGCTGCGAAATTGGAACGATGTCTTGAAGTTTGTCTGACTCTGCAACGATTATACATGATCCGAATGATGGTATGAAATCCCAGTGCCCCTGTTGCTTTGATAGGTAGATATAAAAAGGAGTCGGCTCATTTGAGTGCAACGAATCGTAACATGACAATTGTGATCAACATCAACGACAGCCAAATGCTTCTTTCTGTATTGTAAGTAGAGTTGGGAAATACTTGTAATAAAATTACAAATTGGAGTTACTTTTTTCAATAATTGTAGTTTAACTTCGAAATTTTTTTTTATTTATAATTGTAACTCAATTATTTTTTTTGGTAACAAATAACTAATTTAATAATTACTTTTATAGTTTCTTCATATAAAACATATTCGTTAACGCATGAGCTGTCCAAAATAAGTATGTTTAGAATAATCAGTGATTATCTATTGTGACTAAAACATATCTTTATCTTTGCTACTATCACTGTAAATGTTTGTATCAAGAATCAAACTAAGATTCTTTTAGGAATGAACACGTCTTAATATTAATCATACAATTTTGATTTTGTACTAGAAAGGGTACCATGGTACCAAACAGTTGTAAATAAGTTGTAGATAATGTAATAGTCAATCGGACTTATTGTAAAGAAGTCTGGAAGTATTTATTAGTAGGTGTACAAATTCGCGATTCGCAAATCTGCGCAATTCATCCAACTACGGAAAAGGGTTCATGTATCGTAAGTTATTTACATAAGGCGTTGCAATACATCGCAGTCATTAGTTATCGGTCGCATGTGTAATTATAAGCTGTCTGCTCAGGTTGAATCATTAACTACTTAGCTTCATTATTCTTCTCAAACGAAGCTTCAACTCGCTCCATTGTTCCTAATAATAATACGTAAATACAATGTATTAATACAACGTTTGCATTTCGAGTCGCGTAACATATACAAATCCTCAATAAAAGCAGATAAGTCTGATTACATCATATAATTGTCAGTAATTATAATATGGAAAAATATCGTAATTCCAATATCTTACTTATCATAAATTTTTATTAATCAATTAATTAGTTAATTAATTAATATAATGCAAATAATACATACACGCATAAAACATTTAATTACTATAGAAATTTGCTGCGTCGCTGGTTTGTTGACTGTTAATTTACTGTATTGATTATTTCGTTCATTAACATATTTAGGATTCCTCGTTACGTTTTATAATTTAACTTAATTGACAACAAGATCGTAACTTAGCGATCGAGAGTTCAGTATCATCAAACATTAATTTAATTAGAATAGTAAGATATAAATAACATCGAGTTCTACTCTAACGACAAAATATATTTTTAGTTAATTGTAAAAAACAACATTGTTTACTGATCGGATTTTCCAATCAAATACATAGAATACATTTTTAGCTATCGGGGAATTGTATTTTTTAGGGCGATTCCGGTGGCCCTCTTACTGTCAATGGACAACTCATAGGACTCGTTTCATTTATATACGATTGCGATAGTACAGAATATCCCACCGTGTATACGCATCGTGTCGTTCATGGATTGGATAAAGGTTAAACTCGGTATATACGCCGCACCTAAGAGAGATTTAATTTATCAAGTACTATTTACCATGTTTAAGGTAAATAAACTATACCAATAAAAACTTCATACTTTCTACTACTATAAAAAAATATTAGGAATCCGAAATATATATATTAATTTTTCATACTAAAAAATAAACTTTTTGAAACCCTTCCATTTTTGCCATATATCCCATAGGATATACTATATAACTACTCATAGGAGGAGAGGTGGTATGTACGGCTCATGAAAAATTTACAAATAATGCGTATAAATAAGACGTAAAATGACACAATAACTTATAAAATGCGTTTATAAATGAAGTGTATATGAAGTAATAAATAATAATTACAATCTTCCTACTTATATTACAAGTGTTATGGCAAGAGGTATATATTTCATGTAATGCGTTTATTGCATTTAGTGCACTGATTTCAATCTGCGCACTTTGTATGCTTTGGGCATAAATACCGCCCGCTAAAAATGTCGTATAGTTCAGATGCTGTGTTTTTTTATCTAGATACAGATATAAATACTCGAATTTGAATGTAGAGATACAGATTACACAAAATGTATCTCTATACACGTATCTAGATACATGTATAGAAATACTACCCAGCACTGTATATGAGCATATAATAATTAACGAAATACGATAATCTGTTTTGACATTTAATCACGTATATAAAGAAATCGGGAATCGGTATGTATAATTAAACGTTCAAATATAGATGTCATATGTAATTCGTTAAATATAAACATCATATATTTTGTAGTTACATAGTTTATATACATGTGCCCAAGAATTTTTTGTATTACTTCCAGAAGAGAGATGTACATATAATATATCTTCCAAAGATCAATTTACGATTATTTTACATATAAATATTTATAACTTTTAGTTTTATACAACGTTAAACAAGAATTTGCTTAAAAAACACATTCCTATAAATAATAAATTGCGTACATATTTATACGTACATATATGTATATTTATACATATGCGTACCAGCATATATATGTATATATTTTGCACGTTTCATTATTTCTGCGATGCACAATAGTAAACGTATTGCAAAAGGGAGAAATGGGAACAAATCCACTTAACTATTCCGGCAGCGTACAGCGAGTGTGCAAAATTGTTTCAGAGAGATTAGTGAACATTGATCTCTCAAAAATGGATGAAAGAACCATTTGCATCTGTTACCTCTCGTCTCTATCCAATATTCTACTTCTCTTACACACTTGCATAGACGATCAAATTGTATGAACGGAAGGCTCCGATGTATTTATTAGAAGATATGATTTTCACAATGTTTTTTCATTTTATAAAAAACAAGTAATAATCATTGATGGATAACAAAGAAAGGTGTTTGCTTGCGAATTATTTTTGCTTGCGAGCAAGTAAGTTCCGCGTCAATAATGAGTTCATTAACTCTGCTAAGAAAACGTATGGTTTTGGTTGATATATCGCTGTCGCTGAGAAATTGGATGTTTTAAGACATCAGATTGAAACTGAGTAGGAAACTAGTTTGCAAAGACATGAACACCGTTTTTTGCTTTTACGAGGCCGTAAAGGCAATATCGAAAATGCTTCATATCCAATTAATCCATGTTGTTTCATTCATCCAGTATCAGTCATCCATCGCATACTTATATGGACATAAAGACGAAAAACGAAGAATTATTAACACGGATACGATGAAATTATTTAAATTACATAACAAATGAAGACAATTAAATGCAGCAGATAATAATTCTGCCGTTTCAAATAATGATTGTAATAAACGAGCGATTTCTATAAGCTCTGAAAACAGTATTACCATGTATTTTCTTCGGTAAACGTTGTGCTGCAACTAACGCTTCTGCTGGCGCTATATTGCTTTAACTCTTAACAATTACTACATGTAATTGTTAAGAGTTAAAATGCAAGAAGCATCCAGGAGCTTGTTTTTAGATTTAAACAAACTCTAATTATCTTAAATGTACAAAGATATAAATTACATACGTCTCGTAATAATTATTTTACTAACCACAATTCTGCTTCTTCTTATTATCCGTTAGCAAAAACATAATTCAGATATTTTGACGTACGAACAGAAATAGTATGATTCTCATTAAATTCGCAGCGAGTCATGCGCATAGCATCGTAATAATAGTTAGCTCCAGCAACTATTGTTCAACGATCATTTCGATTAATAGCCCTCAAAGGGCCATACGTCTCATTGCGATATTGTTATTCTAAGGATATTGTTATTGTAAGAATATTGTTGTTCTAAAGATATTGTTGTTCTATACCTGACAATCTCGCGTTGGAACAAAGAAATAAATTGCATGCGGCAATCGAATGTTACTCCGTGCAAAAAATACTACGCAACGGAATTTGTTGCCATTGGAATATATCTCTAATCATGCTAATTATTACACTTCGTAATTATCACACTCTATATGAAGAATTAAGTTAGAAGTATGTGAACGCTTAATATTAATATCATTTTGATTGCGTACTAAATATATATATACCTATATTAATTATAAATAATGTAGTGTATAATATCGAATGTGTAGTATAATAAGTAAAATAATTTAGTAAGTTAGAAATGTATAAGATTATTGTATTTAAAATTGCAATATAAAAAATTAGAAGAAATTAACAAAAGTAATTAAAGAGAAATAATTTGTATCTTTTTAAGTAATTGTATCTGTAATATACTTTTTAGAATTAATGACTTGCAACAGTAATTAGTTATTTCTCGAGAAAAAAAATTATAACTGTAATTAGTTATTTTTACAGAGTAATTTTCACAATCCTGGTAGTAAGACATAAGTGAAGGTACGAAATCGTGCCAAGTAGTACTTCGACTTTGAAAACCTTATAAATTGTGTAATATCGCCAAAGTTTTCAGTTGCAAAAAACGTCAATCGAAATAAGCGACTCATGTCCGTAATATCAACAATAATAACTCAAATATTTCTTTTAGGAAGGATAAGCAATAATTAAAAGCATAAGCGAACTCTTATCTAAATTATTTCAAATAGCCTATTGTTGCTAGCTTACGATAGTTGTGCAAAACACAAATTAAACGATAATCAGACGGCTTGCTCAATCAACTGTCCCACGACGGACGTTGCAAAATTTATAAAATTTGCAGCACACGCATCTAAAAATGCTCAAAATTTAATACTACTGTGTCTATTGTACTTAGAATCATGGATATACATATATTAATACTTTCGTTAGAAGATGTGAAGTAAAACGAGGTCGCGAGACCCGTTACGCCGGACAATTCAAATAATCATTTAGATTAAGTAGTTATAGGACTAGAAAGATCCGTTTATTCCCTTAATTATCAAAATGTAGAAGGGTATTGTGACGTTTCTGGCATACCATATAATTCGAGAATTTACACGGGTTCCCACGATGAAAACGCAAGCAATTATAACATAACTTCGCATTTCACACTGTCTTAATGTGTTCTGATACGAATAATTCCTTGAACACATTGCATGCATAAACCCATACAGCACAGAATGTGCACCCTGGTGAAAATCTCCTCAAGATGCCACCCGAATTCAAGAAAAAAAATTTTTTAAATAAGAATTAAGCCTGGTTTGTACCACCTTCCTCTTCATTTGTACCTCAAGGAGTTCAAAATTATAAAGGCTTAAAAAAATACTAGCACCCCACTCTCTGAGATATTTCAAATCTGTAAACGGGTGTTGTTCCGGGATCGTTTATACTCGTTTGTACCACCGTCGGTTTCGTTTGTACCCTCAAAAGGATGATTGTACCAAAATTTTCAAAATAGGGGTGAGAGTCAACTTTGCCATTTTTGAGATATTTCAAAGCTTATTAAAAAAATTTATTTTTTTAAAGTCGGGTACCAGATTCACATAGATAGCCCCAAGAGCGCGCGCGCTCCAAGATGAAAATATAACCCTTTTTTAGATGTTAATGAAGTAGTATACATTTTAAAGTAGCTCATATTGCTTATACGTGTACGGCACTTATGCACAGGAGATATAAATCTCAATTAGAACATTCACATAAGCCTTGTGTCGCTCGCACACATGCAGCACGTGTTTGGGCGATATGAGCCTTGGATGAGTACGTATCTGCATGGTATTGTGCAGTTACCTTGTGACGTTTACATTACTGCGCAAATGTGCGAAGTCACTGTACGGATATTTTGTTATCTGGATAATTTCGTCGCTCGGTATTGCCTTTATCCGCTACGTTGGCCGCGTTCAATTTGTCTTCAACAGTGCCTGCAAGTGAGTAAACTCATTCCTGAATATTCGGATTAATGTATGCATGTCGATCAGGCTTAGCACTGCGAGTTTCATCATCGAACTCCTCGAACGCGTGATACAAATCTCTTAAACAATTGATACGTAATCTCAAGGTGTTATTCTATCTTAGTCGAGGAGATTGACCAAATTCATGATTTGCGATTTTAATGGCGTTCATTTCTGTACAAGGAGTTTAACTCTATCAGCCAATGTTACACGATTCGTGGCAAGTAAAAATCAAATAACTTACTCTCGTGTAATGACACTATCTTGCTAAATATCCGAAATCACACTATCCAAGAAAATCATATCTCGGGATAGCGTACAATAATTGGTTCTTGCGTAGTAATCCGATCTCGAACATGGGGTCCGCGAACAGGAGTCACCAAAATATGTTTCGTATGTAATGAGTCACATTATGTAATAGTTGATACCAAAATTGAACGTATATTTGATTCTTAGAACAATTACATAACATTAATCGAATGTCTATTTAATTCTCAATATATTCGATATGTACATAAGCACTATTTTAGTTCAACGGTTTCTAATCTTGAGTCACTACAGAACCAACGCGGACACGCGATAACGTCTGAGACAATTCTTTAGATCGCACATTAGGTTCGAATATGTGCAGCTCGTATCTGACGAAAGCACAAGGAAAACGAAGTTATTGACCTTGATATCTCTGAAGCGCCTTCACATGGACAAAAATTATTATCGCCATATGATAGCTCCCTTTACACCGTGTAATTTTGGTTACATAAATTTTTCTCAACATCTTATAGATTAGAAAATATTTCAGGTGGTAATAGTCATTAGGACCCACTGTATATACATATAACAGTATTAAACTTTCAAAACTGAAATTTATCAAATTGCGACTTGGGACACTTTAATGGCAAAATGCAAATAAAGTATAAAATTGCGCAGTAATGTAAGACAAATTTTTAATGATAAAAAGTTGCAAACGAAATATCTTTTCTTTGCAAAATTATTGAGATAATAAATTATCAACATTTCTTTGATACGTTTGTTAGATGTATACAATGTAAAAAGTAGCGCAAAACTAGACACTTGTCAATATTTTATTAATACTAGAAGTCAATAGAAAAGACAATATAGATAGTATCCTGATAAATTAGGAATGATTTTAAATATTAGCATAAAACACATTTTCTAATCTTATTTAATTTTAAATTACATTTTATAGGCACATTTTCGTGTGTATCATACAAATCAGATTTAGAGAATAATCAGTTGACAACGTCGCGTTAATAATGATGATGATACAATTATTATTCTTAGTTCCCTTAATCGCTGTTGATTATGGTGAGTATTCTAAGCAAATTGATCAACTTTCTGTGTGTGTGTGTGTGTGTGTGTGTGTGTGTGTGTGTGTGTATGTGAAATCATTTAATTAAATTAAATTCTTAAATATTATGAATTAATAACAAATCTAATACAGGCGCATCAATGAAAATTTCACCAAGAATTGTTGGGGGGAGACCTGCCAATCCAGGTGAAATTCCGTACCAGGTAAGCCAGTAAATTATTTTTAATCAATATCATTAATTTTAATCTTATTAATTGCTTGGGTTTAAAAATATGTCTTGAATTTTTTGAGTTTGGTCGAGGAATGAGTTAAGGACGTTCGCCAAAAAATCAATTTTCTTTAGATTTTTCTGAAACATACAGAAAAAGCTTGTTTTAGTATCCTGAACATGTGCTTTAAAACTCAATACCCGGAGCGGGATCATTTTTGCGCTTCTACGCATAAGGGGCGGAGCGAAAGAGCAGAGTGGTGCTCAATTTATATTTTCTGTGTATGGAGGCGACTGCGTGGGCGTGAATAAACTTTAGGTTGAGCACAAGCGCAAAAATGATCCCGCTCCGGGTATTGCGTTTTAAAGCACATTTTCAGAACACTAAAACAAGCTTTTTCTGTAAGTTTCAGAAAAATCTAAAGAAAATGGATTTTTTGGAGAACGTCCTACTTTCATTCAGCATCTCAAAGCTGACAATATCATTTGTAAGGCTAGACGTATAATAATATCAGAAATTTTTATATCCTCCTACATAACATGCATTTTATAATTCAGGTTTCTCTGCAAATGAAAATTGATAGAATTGACCAACATGTCTGCGGTGGAGTCATAATTAACAAGAATTACGTGCTCACCGCTGCTCACTGTGTTCCTCTGAGGTAAGTAGGCGAATCTCAAGAAATACTTCGGAAAAATAAACTATATACAGAATGTTTAGCGTAACGGTCCGCACGATTTTTTAAACACTTTTGACAGTGAAGAAAATAAGTTGGTATTAAATAATTATCTATTTTGTGCAGGTTACAAAATGCGATAAAAATTGAAAAGGTTTTTTCTTTTTTATAAAAAAATTAAAATTATCTTAAATTTTTTAAATAGCGCCATACAATTTCTTTTATAATATTATAGGGGTTTTCAAGACGAATTCAAATCACTATTAAAATGTCTTTTATTAATGTTTTATTGATTTTATTGCATATCTTATTACATAATATGCATGTATCATAAATATACCCATTTGTGTACATTTCTAATCAGAGATGTAAGTACTAATATTACAAATAATGCTGCATGTCTGATATTAAATATCAATAAAATCATTAAAATATAATAAAAATAACATCCTCCATGGTCGAGTTAAATTCGTCTTAAAGACACCTACAATGTTATGAAAAAAGTTATATGGTGTTATTTAAAAAATTTAAGATGTCTGATATTTACAGAAAAAACGTTTTTAATTTTTTTTCATAAAATGTTTTTTCATCGCATATTATAGCCTGTATAAAACAAATGAATATTCACTTTTTAACTTAAAGTGTCTGAAAGCGTCTGAAAAATCGTGCGGATCGATACGCTGAACACCCTAATAGATACAAAAAAAATGCTCTTCGTAATATTCTTTACAGTGGAAACACTTTGAGTATGTCAGTCGTTGCGGGAACAATAAATCTAAAAACACCGCTTTCAAGGCATCTGATTCAGTCCATTTTCGTACACGAAAAGTACATGCCCCCTTTGACCTGTGATATCGCTTTACTTAAGGTAACGCTCGTATGATAGCATTCATTCCATATAATTTCTATTAAATTTTGAATTAAGCAATTTGTAAATTAAGACTGCGCAAAAGAGTATACAGAAGATTTATTTTCAGCTTGAAAATCCATTAAACTTTTCTTCTTGGATAAATTCCATCGATTTACCGAAACAAAATCAAACTGTCATGGCAGGCTCGATAGCAAAAGTATCGGGATTCGGTGTAATATCTGTAAGTCTCTTATTAATTCAGTCGTTTAGATTCTTATATAGGCGCTAGATATTCGAAAATCCCACTTCAAATTGCTCTCATAAATTACATTTGTACTTTATATATTTGCAGTCTGAAGGAAAGGATGCCGAAGGACGATTATACGTTGTAGACAATATCATAACTCATGAGACTTATTGTAAAGAAAAGTATGATACAGCAGCAAATATAACCATTGAACATCGGCATATCTGCGCAAATCATCCAATCGTTCAAAAGGGTGCATGCATGGTAAGCTATTTACATAAGATATTGCAATACATGGCTATATCATTAATTATCAGTCACATGTATAATTATAGGATGTCTATTCAGGTAGAGTCATTAATTATTTAACCTGTATTATTCTTCATCAATAGGAAGATTCAATTCGCCATTATTCCTAATAATTACTAAACATAATATCTTAATATAACGCTTGCACTTCTAATCGCGTATTGTGATACACATTCTCGATAAGGAGATCCAATTATATCGTACAATTGTCGGAAATCATTATAGAATCACATCGTGATTGCAATATTTCTCTTATCATAAATTTTTAATGAGCCATTAATTAATTAATTGATATAATACTTAATAATACGTACATGCATAAAATATTTAATTGCTACAGTAACTTGCTGCATCACTGATCTGTTCATTGTTAATACTGTATTGATTATTTTTTGTTCATTAACGTATTCAGTTCCTCGTTATGTTTTATGATTTAATTTAATTGACAATAAGATCGTATAGCTCAGCGATTGAAAGTTTAATATCATCATCAAACGTCAATTTAATTAAAATAACAAAATGTAAATAATATGAACAATAAAAATCTTATTTTTAGACCGTACAATGTGTGAAACACAATTAATAATAGAAATTCAACAGCCTATACCGGTCGAAGCTAGATCTTTAATGTTTTAAATAATTCAATGTGAATTATATATACACTATATATATACTTGCATATATAACATATTTGTAGTCCTTTAAACTGCGCGCCGAATTGGTTTTCCGGACTTATAAACGCAATTAAACTACTGGAATAATATCACGAATTAAATTAAATTGACAAGCAATTTTGTCCTCGATAATATTTGTCAGGATCAAGGCCATTGATGATTGTACCTCTTATTTTCATTTTTATATAAAAATGAATTTTTAGTGCAAAAAGGAAAATAAGAGGTACAGCCTGCAATGGCCTTGATCTTGACAAATGTTATCCAGAACATGATCCTGAACAACATTCAAGAGGTTTTAGCCGTCGGTTGAACAACTTTCGTAATGTTAATGCCGGCTGTACTGTAACTTTCGAGCCTTATAACTCGAAAAATACTTAATGAAAAAATATTTTGTTATAGTGTTTTGGAAAGCTCTGGAGGTAAGCTACAAGAATATATAATGAAAAATAGTAGATTTAATTTAAGAAATTGAAGGTGACCTTTATGTGAACTTTAAGCGACTATCAAAGGTCAAACCAGTGATACCATTTTATGGCCCCCTTGAAACCATACAACTTTTATCTGAAATATTTTCTTGTAAAATGCAAGGGAATGAAAATATTTGGGGGAGGTAGATTAAAATGGATGACACTGTATAGTATATAGATAATTCACATTGAATTATTTAAAGCATTAAAGATCCAGCTTCGCGACCGGTATAGGCTGTTGAATTTCTATTGTAAATAATAAGAGCTCTGCTCTAACGAAGAAATTTATTGTTAGTTAATTATAAAAAATATCATTGTTTGTTGGTTATTCCAATCAAATTCATATGAAACATATTTTTAACTATCGGAGAAATGTATTTTTAGGGTGATTCCGGTGGCCCTCTTACTGTCAATGGAGTACTCGTAGGACTCGTCTCGTTTGGGCCTGCGCCTTGCACTAACACAGAATATCCCACCGTGTTTACACGCGTCCTGTCGCACATCGATTGGATAAATGAGCAAATGTAAAAGATTTAGTTGCAGCAGTCAATTTTTGATTGTGTTAGCCTATCCACAATGTTAGTACAGAAAATATGACACAGCATTTTTAATTGGTTGTAGCAGCCAATTTTTGGTTATGTTAGCCTATTGAAATTCTATATTGACATTGCAGATAGGCTAATTCAATCAAAAATTGGCTGCTGCAATAAAAAATTGGCTGCTGCAGCCAATTAAAAATGTTATGCCATATTTTACCATCTAATTTACTACAGTAGGCAATCTTTTCTTTCAGTGTGCGATTGTTTTACTGATATTTTTAACTTTTACTTTAACAATATTAAACCGACATCAAACGGAAACTTACTTAAAGAAAACACGTTCAAATAAATAACAGATATGTAATAGATTGTATGTGTAGGGTAATTCCGGCAAATATGTCGCGCTGGGATTTACAGCAGAAGTCAGAAAAAATAGAAGGAGGGTAATTTTCCCGCAACTACTCTGCCTTTATATTATATTACATGCCTTTATGTTATATTAGTATTGTGTTATGATTTCAGCTTCTTACTGTTAATATTAATGAAATTATTGTGAATTGAATCAATTTGTCACTGTAACAAGTAGCGCCATCATAAATTATAATCTACGTAAAATGATTACTGTAGGGCGTGTAAAAGACCTAGTGGTTATTTCGTGATACATACGTGTAGAGGAATAGTAAAGCATGTTTTATAGCAAAATACAAGTGCTTTGCTTTCGTATTCTTTGTTTAGTTTGCTGTCTTTCTTGTATATCCCACCTGTTTAGGATATACGGTATTTTTAGCGGATGAGATTTATGCCCAAAGCATACAAAGTGCGCAGATTGAATTCATTGCACTAAATGCAATGAATATATTACATGAAATATGTACCTCATGTCATAACACTTGTAATATATGTAGGAAGATTGTAATTATTATTTATTATTTCATATACATATTTATCATTCTTATTCCTTAATAAAACTTTATAAACGTATTTTATAAGTTATTATGTCATTTTATGTCTTATTTATAAGCATTATTTGTAAATTTTTCATGAGCCGTACCTCTCCCCCTATGAGTAGCCATATATCCCAACCTTATAGGATATACAGCAAAAATGCAAGGGTTTCAAAAAGTTCATTCCTTAATAAGAAAAATAAATATTTCTAATATTTTTTTCATAATAGTAGACAGTACAAAGTTTTTACTGATATAGTTCGTTTACTTTAAACATAGTAAATAATACTTAATAAATTCAGTTTTTGATAGGTGCGGCGTATATACCGGAGCTACCCTATATATAGCCCGTTTAATTATTTTTGTGGTCAATATAATAATAAACGTATCTTAAAAGGGAGCCAATTGAAAAAAAGTCCACTTAACTATTCTGGCATCATGCGTCAAGTACCCAAAATAGTTTCAAAAAGATTAATGAACAATGATCTATTAAAAATGAATAAACGAACCTCTGCATCTGTTTTGTCTTGCTTCTATCCAACATTAATTTCTATTTCTCTTATACACTTGTACTAATGAGCAGGTTGTATAAACGGAAGGCTTTAATGTGTTTATTGGAAGATATAATTTGAATATTCTTCCATTTTACGAAGAACAATAATAATCCTTAACGTGTAAGCAAAAAAAGACTTTTATTTTCGAATTATTTTCGCTTGCAAGTAAGCGAATTCCGTGTAAATAATTTCATCAATTCTGTCAAAAAGAGATTATCATGTCTTGCGTGCAAAAATGCCATCAAGTTACTCTCACAACGTGATGAGGGCACAAGTGCTAGTGTAAAAGATGTCACTGTATAATCACGCATGATGCTGGCACATTGTACGAACGTAAAAAATTGTACTGTTAACAAATTTGTTTATAATAATTAAGGTTTACCGGTACCAAAGGGACGCAACGAGTTAAATTTCTAAAATTAAAAAATGACACCTATAGAATAGAATAAAAGGCGCAGTATTTTAAGAGATCCTTCAGTTGTGTTCTAATAAAATAAATTTCGAAATGAATCCCAAGATCTATGTGAACCTGCCACTCGAATTTAAGAAAAAAATTTTTTAAATAAGAATTAAGCCTGTTTAATACCACCTTCCTCTTCATTTGTACCTCAAGGAGTTCAAAATTATAAAGGCTTAAAAAAATACTAGCACCCCACTCTGAGATATTTCAAATCTGTAAACGGGTACTGTTCCGGGATCGTTTGTACTTGTTTGTACCACCGTCGGTTTCGTTTGTAACCTCAAAAGGATGATTGTACCAAATTTTCAAAATAGGGGTGAGAGTCAACTTTGCCATTTTTGAGATATTTCAAAGCTTATTAAAAAAATTTATTTTTTTAAAGTCGGGTACCAGATTCACATAGATCCCAAGAGCGCGCGCGCTCCAAGATGAAAATATAATCCTTTTTTGAGATGTTAATGAAGTAGTATACATTTAAAAGTAGCTCATATCGCTTATACGTGTACGGCACTCACGCACAGGCGATATATATCTCAATTAAAGCACTCACATAAGCCTTATGTCACTCGCACACATGCAGCACGTGTTTGGGCGATATGAGCCTTGGATGAGTACGTATCTGCATGGTATTGTGCAGTTACCTTGTGACGTTTACATTACTGCGCAAATGTGCGAAGTCACTGTACGGATATTTTGTTATCTGGATAATTTCGTCGCTCGGTATTGCCTTTATCCGCTACGTTGGCCGCGTTCAATTTGTCTTCAACAGTGCCTGCAAGTGAGTAAACTCATTCCTGAATATTCGGATTAATGTATGCATGTCGATCAGGTTTAGCACCGCGAGTTCATCATCGAACTCCTCGAACACGTGATACAAATCTCTTAAACAATTGACACGTAATCTCAAGGTGTTATCGTCTATTCTACCTTAATCGAGGAGATTGACCAAATTCATGATTTGCGATTTTAATGGCGTTCATTTCTGTACAAGGAGTTTAACTCTATCAGCCAATGTTACACGATTCGTGGCAAGTAAAAATCAAATAACTTACTCTTGTGTAATGACACTATCTTGTCAAATGTCCGAAATCACACCATCCAGGAAAATCATATCTCGGGATAGCGTACAATGATTGATTCTTGCGTAGTAATCCGGTCTTGAACATGGGGTCCGCGAACAGGAGTCACCAAAATATGTTTCGTATGTAATGAGTCACATTATGTAATAGTTGATACCAAAATTGAACGTATATTTGATTCTTAGAACAATTACATAACATTAATCGAATGTCTATTTAATTCTCAATATATTCGATATGTACATAAGTACTATTTTAGTTTAACGGTTTGTAATCCTGAGTCACTACAGAACTAATGCGGACACGCGATAACATCTGAGACAGTCGTTTTAGATCACACATTGGATTCGCATATGTACAGCTCGTATCCAACGAGAGCAGAAGGGCACTGTGGCACTCAACTCGAATAAATTTCCCTTTAAAATATTCCTCGTAATACATACAATCGAAATACGTTAATATCCGAATTTGTTGCTCACTTTACGCATGGAATATTATAATTAGTTCGGCGCGGTCGCCGATTTGGATAAACTAATTATTTTTCATACATTATATAGAGTGAGCAATAAATTTGGATATTGACATATTTCGATAGTATGTGTTACGAGAAACATTTAGGTATCAAAAAACATATGAGTAACAAATTCTTTAAATAAGCTCTGTAAATCTCGTGGAGCGAAATCTCACTCGAAGAGACTGAAAATTGAGCCAGTCTTGAAAAAAGAGTTCAAACCTGTCACCCTTGAACAAGAGTAGCCGTATTTTCACTCTTTTTTCAAGACTGGCTCAATTTTCAATCTCTTCGAATGAGATTTCATTCCACGAGATTTAGAGAGAGATTTAAGGGATCTTAGTACACGGCGCGAGAATAGCCGGGATAAATTAATTGTTTTTCACGTGTTATAATTAGCAACAAATTCGAATGTCGACATATTTCGATTATATATGATATCTAGAACATTTTCGTACCAAATTCATGTGAGTAACAAATTTTATACATGTAACTTTTAATCATAACGCTGTGACGTATGAACGCGGTGCAATCTGATTATTTATAGATATTTGTTTAACAATATTATATTTTCAATATGTTTTTGCATTATCTTGGAGCAACAAAAAAGTAACAAAATCTGGTGTATTTGTTTTTTTAATATTGCATCTATTTATATATATATTTTTTTTTTATTATGAGATGTCCAGCTCGGCATTAACCTGAATCCATCCATTTTATTTTTTTCTGCTAAACTGTTAGAGCAACAAAATTCGTTTCAGTGTAATAAATTAGCAACAGAATAGCACTAAATTTTTTACTACGTCCTAACTCGATTTGAGATGGTGAGGGGTCCAGGTTAATAGAAGTCAAGCTTATCAAGATCTCTATTAACGAATGTCTTTTGATATAAAATCGCATACACTTCTGCTTCTCGCACTATTATTGATTGATATTGTACATATGAATAAATACATGCGCACGCGCGCACGCGTGTGTGTGTGTGTATGTGTGTATTTGTGCGTATCATGTATGTGTATGTGTACACAAGTTATTCGCTTATCGTTTAATTTGTCTGTCGTGCACGAACCGACCTACGAAACTTTATCTTAAAATACTTTGCTTATTATTCTCAATATTCTTAAAACACTTCGCTTATAAAATGTGCAATTATAGATTGCTAAAGTTCATAATTGTAGTATACTTTGACACAGAGTGCACTATTTTACTTCTACATTAGAAGTTTGTTTAGCATTACATTCAACTTTCTATACTGTATATCATGTTCAACGATAGTTTTGCGATGCGAAGTTATTTATATACATGGTGTCTCAATAACTTTTACCACCTGAAATATTTTCTAATCTATAAGGTTCCATTAAATTCCATTTAAATCTATTAAATTCCATTTCAAAAAACGAAGTTGACCTTGAAATTTCTGAAGCGTCTTCACCTGGACAAAAATTATTATCATCATATGATAGCCCCCTTTACATCGTGTAATATTTTGATTGTAAAAATTTTTTTCTACACCTTATAGATTAAAAGATATTTCAGATAATAATAGTTATTGGGACATTCTATATATACATATAACAGTATTAAACTTTTAAAACTGAAATTTACCAAATTGCAACTTGAGATACTTTAATAGCAAAATGCAAATAAAGTATAAAATTGTATAAGACAACTTTTTAACCATAAAAAGTTGCAAACGCGAAATATCTTTTTTTTTTACAAAATTATTGAGATAATAAATTATCAACATTTCTTTGATATGTTTGTTAGACTTTGTATATGTATACAATGTAGAAAGTAACACAATACTAGACACTTGTCAATACTTTATTAATACTAGAAGTCAATAGAAAAGACAATATAGATAGTATCCTGATAAATTAGGAATGATTTTAAATATTCATTAGCATAACACATATTTTCTAATCTTATTTAATTTCAAATTACATTTTATAGGCACATTTTCGTGTGTATCATACAAATCAGATTTAGAATAATCAGTTGACAACGTTGCGTTAATAATGATGATGATACAATTATTATTCTTAGTTCCCTTAATCGCTGTTGATTATGGTGAGTATTCTAAGATAAATTGGTCAACTTTCTGTATGTATGTGTATGTGAAATCATTTAATTTAATTAAATTCTTAAATATTATGAATTAATAACAAATCTTATACAGGCGCATCAATGAAATTAGTAACGAGAATTGTAGGAGGAAGATGTGCCGATCAAGGTGAAATCCCATACCAGGTAAGCCAGTAAATCATTTTTAATCAATATCATTAATTTTTAATCTTATTAATTGCTTGGGTTTAAAAATATGTCTCGAATTTATTGAGTTTGATTGAGGAATGTGTTAAGGACGTTCTCCAAAAAATCCATTTTCTTCAGATTTTACTGAAACTTATAGAAAAAGCTTATTTTAGTATTCTAAACATGTGTTTTAAAACTCAATACCCGGAGCAGGATCATTTTTGCGCTTCTATGCATAAGGGGCGGAGCGAAAGAGCAGAGTGGTGCTCAATTTATATTTTCTGTGTATGGGGGCAACTGCGTGGACGTGAGTAAAACTAAACTTTAGGTTGAACACAAGCGCAAAAATGATCCCGCTCCGGATATTGAGTTTTAAAGCACATGTTCAGGACACTAAAACAAGCTTTTTGTGTAAATTTCAGAAAGATCTAAAGAAAATGGATTTGGAGAACGTTCTTAATTACTTTCATTTAGCAATTCAAAGCTGACAATATCATTTGTAAGGCTAGACATATAATAATATCAGAAATTTTTATATCCTCCTACATAACATGCATTTTATGATTCAGGTTTCTCTGCAAATGCAAATTAATGGAATTGACCAACATATATGCGGTGGAGTCATACTTGACAAGAATTACGTGCTAACCGCTGCTCACTGTGTATCTCCTCCCAAGTAGGCAAATCTCAAGAAATACTTCGGAAAAATAAACTGTATACAGGATGTTTAACGTAACGGTCCGCACGATTTTTTAAACACTTTTGACAGTGAAGAAAATAAGTTGTAAGATAAATAATTATCTATTTTATACAGGTTACAAAATGCGATAAAAAATTTAAAAAGTTTTTTCTTTTTATAAAAAAATTAAAGTCATCTTAAATTTTTTAAATAGCACCATATAATTTTTTCATAATATTATTTTTCAACACGTATTCTAATCACTATTGAAATGTCTCTTATTAATGTTTTATTGATTTTATTGCATATCTTATTACATTAGTACATAATATGCATGTATCATAAATACCCATTTGTGTACATTTTTAATCAGAGATGTAAGTACTGATATTACAAATAATGCTGCATGTCTGATATTAATTATCAAAAAATTATTAAAATATAAAAAAAATAAGATCCTCCATAGTAGAGTTAAATTCATCTTAAAGACCCCTACATATTATGAAAAAAAGTTATATGGTGATATTTAGAAAATTTAAGATGTCTGATATTTATGAAAGAATATTTTAAATTTTTTTTTATAAAATGTTTTTTCATCGCATATTACAGCCTGTATAAAACAAATGAATATTCACTTTTTAACTTGAAGTATCTGAAAGTGTCTAAAAAATCGTGCGGACCGATACGCTGAACACCCTGTATAGATACAAAAAAAAATGCTCTTCGTAATATTCTTTACAGTGGAAACGCTTCGGATATGTCGGTTGTTGCGGGAACAATAGATCTAAAAACACCTCTTTCAAGGCATTTGATTCAGTCCATTTTCGTACACGAAGAGTACATTCCCCCATCTTTGATCTATGATATCGCTTTACTTAGGGTAACGATCGTATGATAACATTCATTCCATATAATTTCAATTAAATTTTGAATTAAGCAATTTGTAAATTAAGACTGCGCAAAAGAATATACAGATTTATTTTCAGCTTCTAAGTCCATTAAAATTATCTTCTCGAATATGTCCCGTCGATTTACCGAAACAAAATCAAGCTGTCAAGGCAGGCTCGATAGCAGAAGTATCGGGATTCGGAATAATAACTGTAAGTCTCTTATTAATTCAATCATTTAGATTCTTATATAGGCGCTAGATATTTGAAAATCCCTAGAGATGTAAAAAAATGGTGTTTTTGACTTCAGAGAAAAGTATCAATTAAAAAACTAGTTTTTTACTGTAAAAACGGTATTTTTGACCAAATTACATAAAATTCACGAAAAAACGTTTAGAATTCTTGTTAAATATGTAGAAGAAATAGAATTCATTTTTCTTGTTATTTCGATGCTATTTAATACTTTTGTCTTTATAATTTTATTGTTGTCTCACTAATTTAAATTTAGAATATGTATATAATTACAATTATAGTATACAACATAAATAGTCAATCGGTCTAGTAAAGTATTATTAGTATTAGTGACAGTATGGACCACTTACTTAACTTTTAAAATTGAAATACAGTATAAAATATCATTCAAATAATAGTGAAAGGTAAGATATATTTATGGCCACCGACATTATACTGTATTAATTATTATACAGTATTTTAACATTGATAATTATTTTTACACAGAAATCTTACGGATAAGTGCAAAAACTAAATTCTGGAGCAATAGTACAGCATCGAAATCGTGGAATGCTAAAAAAAATATCCGAGTAAAAAACTGTCAAAGCCAAAGGAAAAAAAACCATTATTTTCCGAGTTTTTAACCCTAAACTTCTAGTTTTTTTTCGTCGCTTACATCTCTAAGAATCCTATCTCAAATTGCTCTCATAAATTACATTTGTACTTTGTATATTTGCAGGTTGAAGGAAAGGAGGGCGAAGAACGATTATACGTTGTAGACAATATCATAACTAATGAGACTTATTGTGAAGAAACGTATAATAGAGTAGCAAATTTAACCATTGAACATTCGCAAATCTGCGCAAATCATCCATTCGTTCAAAAGGGTGCATGCATGGTAAGGTATTGCAATATATCGCCATCATTAATTATCGGTCACATGTATAATTATATGTCTGTTCAGATAGAGTCATTAATTACTTAACTTGCATTATTCTTCCAACATGAAGGTTCATGTTATTCCTAATAACTACTAAGCATAATGTCTTAGTATAACGCTTGCACTTCTAATCGCGTATTGTGATATACATTCTCGATAAGGAGACAAGTTCGATTATATCGTACAATTGTCGGAAATTGTTATAGAGACACATCGTGATTGCAATATCTCACTTTTCATAAATTTTTAATGAGCCATTAATTAATTAATTAATTAATTAATATAATACTTAATAATACGTACATGCATAAAACATTTAATTGCTACAGTAATAATTTGCTGCACTAATTTGTTGATTGTTAATATACTATATTGATTATTTTTTGTTCATTAATATATTCGGGGTTCCTCGTTTTAATTTAATTGACAATAAGATCGTGTAGCTCAGCGATAGTTTAGTATCATCATCAAACATCAATTCAATTAAAATAACGAAACGTAAATAATATAAGCTAGCTCTGCTCTAACGAAGAAGTATATTGTTAGTTAATTATAAAAAATATCGTTGTTTGTTGATTTTTTTCCAATCAAATTCTTATGAAACATATTTTTAACTATCGGAGAAATGTATTTTTAGGGTGATTCCGGTGGCCCTCTTACTATCAATGGACTACTCGTTGGACTCGTCTCGTTTGGGCTTGAGCGTTGCACTAGCTCAAAATATCCCGCCGTGTTTACACGCGTCTCGTCGTACATCAATTGGATAAATGAGCAAATGGAAAAGATTGAAACGGAATGTAGTAATTTGTTTTGATACTTAATGACATGTATAAGAAAATTGAAAATTGATGTGTATAATTAAACGCTCAAATGTGGATGTCATATGCAAATCGTTAAATAAACATCCTATATTTAATAAATCACATAGCTTACACTGAAAGAAAAAATTGCAGCAAATTAGATGGTAAAATATGGCATAGCATTTTTAATTGGCTAGAACAACTGATTTTTTATTGCAGCAGCTGATTTTTAGTTGCAGTAGCCAATTTTTGGTTGCGTCAGCTTATCCACAATGTCAGTACAGAATTTCGATAGGCTAACGCAACCAAAAATTGG